GAGGGGAATAAACCACAGGAGTGGGGGGGCGTCGTTGAGAGCTACCCGTGGGGAGAAAACCAAAATTCGTCTGGGAGAAAAAATTATATGTACTGTATTTTCTACATATCAGTAGACTCTAAAATCGATAAAATAAGCCTTTGAAATCCCTAAATTGTCACGCCTGCTGGACCACATTCGATACAGTATATTTTGAGAGACTCCCGACTACGCCCACTTTGCTCCCGTCGGGGACATCGCCCCCCCCCCACCCACGTCAGGGACCTGGTACGCCCCGTCGGGCAAATCCTGAAGCCACCCTTGTCCGGGGAGATCTGCAGTTACGAATCCGAGAATAATGGTTTGCGGGGTGATACACATTGGTGATACACATTGGCAATAACTTCCGTGAGAAAACATGGAAATTTATGAATTTGACGAGATATGGATTAATTTCCGGGAGATTTTTGCTTGCTTACGGGAATGCGGAAGACTCCCGCCATTTCCGGGAGACATGGGACCCCTGCCTAAGGTACTAAAACTCTTTGTTGTTGAAGTTTAAACTCCACTCGCCTAGTGTCAAAACAAAATTTTTGGCGCACTCAATTTTCCCACTTCTGTTCCTGTTAGTGGTAATACATGTAGTGGCGTAAATTTTCTCCATTTTTTTTAAAACAAAATTGGCACAATTTGCCGACAGCCCATAAACATTCTTGGTTTAAAAAAAATCATCTTGATAAAGAAAAACTATTGGAGAATTGTTGAATCTTATTAGACATAAACAATGACGACGGAAAGTCATAATATGACATATATAGGTATATATACTGTATATTTAAAAAATGTTTCTGTCATATAACACTAATAACTGTTTTTTGTTTGTTTTGTGTCTGTAGAGTAAAGAGCAAAAGCTAGCTTGATTTTGATTTTCAGAATTATTATTATTCCGGTATTTCTTTATTTAAAAAGAAAAAAAATTTAACATTTAAAATTCATAAAATATGGCAGCACTGAGATGCATATGCATCGCGAGCTGAATTGCATTTCATGATAATATATTA